GTCGTCATACTTGTAGTGCCATCTGTTGGACATAAAAGCCTTAACCTAGATGATATCTTTTAATTTATATGAATGTTTACCAGAATAATATACAGCCTATGTCCACCCTGAAGTTCCATTCTAAATATTGGTGAAAGAATTTTTGAAATCAGATGAGTAGTTTTGGAGATTACCCGCTACATCCAAACTTACAAACATTACCTCTTTATAATAATAGTATAGATATAGCAACTAATTTCAAATATATTCCTATCACTCGAGTCTTCAACACTTAATTCTGATTTGTTCAAGCTATATCTTTTTTATTGTTTATGTTCAGTTTATAATATTTTGTGAACTATAACACTCAATCCATGTTTGCTTGATTCCCATCTAATTTTATTTATGTTTAAGTTGTAATATTTTGATCTATGTATCTTTGTATTTTAATCATTTATGATTAAAATACAAAGATACATAAATTTTATTTATTATTTATTACATTTATAAAAGCAAGTGCCAAATCTCCTCCTAGATCAACAAGATTCTTAACAATAGTGATATTTTTATCTCACTATGATCAATTACAAATTATTTATGATTTATAATTGAAAAATAACATCTGGTTCACCATCACATCAACAATGTGATGTAGAACAATTTGAAATTATTCTACATCACAATGTAGAACAATTTGAAATTTTAAAATTTTTACAATCATCAGAACATGTATGGGATGTTCCAAAGTGGAAGACTGAATCCTAAATTTATTCTGTTAACTATTGACCTAGTCTACATCCTACAAAGCTTAGTCTCTAATCTGTCACAGCAATAAGAGCAAAGACGCCTATGGTTAGATTTAAACAAGTCACTCTCTATAACAAATGGAGCAATAAAATGAAGCTCAACAGCATCTAGTTCTTAGAAGGCACTGCCAGACATTCATATGTGAACAAGAGCTGACTTGCCAACTGGTCACCCCTTTGAAACCTTCAGAATGGCCAGAGCATAACTTTGTGCCAAGAAGTCAATGCACAAATTGAACAGCAAGAAGCTAGAACCCTTAATAAAGAAAACTGCCAAAGATCTGTTTAATGTCTTGTTACTGAAGACACAATCTCTGCACTAGCCTGATGGGGATGTCAAACATTGAGGATTCATCAATCATCATTATCTTTGCTGTTCAAGGCCATTGAACACCAGCTTACCTAATCATCAGCTGCCAGAAAACTAACATGGGCATCTTTTGGAAGTAGAGTCTGTAAAAAATCGATGAGCAAGTCTACACTATTTTATTTAAAGTCTGTGAAAAATTATGCATTTTGATAGAGGCATAAAAAATAAATCTAATTAACTTATATATACATAAAATTGCTATGTTGAATGAGAATAAAAAAAGAACAAACTTAATGTCAAACATTCAATTTGAACAAACTTCTTAAATTGAATATATATAATTTGAACTATAACTAAATCAACACCTGTTCACTCGCTGAGAGATTTATTCTTAACACAAACGTTTTCAATCCAATCAATGGATCATCGTCAGGTAAATTAGAACATTTCAAAAAATAGAACAACAAGTTCAAAATACAAAAAATATAAATATTAATAACGGATAACCAATATATTACTAACAGCAAAATAACGTTTTTAAATAATATAATTAATACAAATGCTGCTAAAATTATAAATAAAAATAAAATATTAAAATATAACAAATAAATTGTGTATACAAAATATTAATACTTCAAACTTAATAGACAAATCGATAACACTATATATTAATAATGCTTAATAAACTGTACGGAGTTTCTCAACTAAACTATACAGAGTTTTTTATATACATAATATTAAAGCTCCTGCTCTTATTTGAAGTTTTTAACTGCAAACTTCCATGCGGAAGNATTTATAATTTTAGCAGCATTTGTATTAATTATATTATTTAAAAACGTTATTTTGCTGTTAGTAATATATTGGTTATCCGTTATTAATATTTATATTTTTTGTATTTTGAACTTGTTGTTCTATTTTTTGAAATGTTCTAATTTACCTGACGATGATCCATTGATTGGATTGAAAACGTTCGTGTTAAGAATAAATCTCTCAGCGAGTGAACAGGTGTTGATTTAGTTATAGTTTATTATTTTCTGCTGAGCACGCTTTGGGTTGTTTATATAATTTGAATCTAGAATTTCTAGGTAATGCCTTTCCTTTTATAAAAACAACAAAAATCATCTAACTGACACAGTTTTCTATCATAACTTGTCTTTATCCTAGGTAACATCATCAAAGTGCCTGCTTATTGACATGGTTTACAGTCTCTGTTATGTGCAATGAACTAAGATTGAAACTACATAAGGTTCTAACCAGAGCTTTGCTAATCATCTTCAGTGTGGATAGGGTGCTTCTAAGCATTCTTGGTCAATGTACTGTCTGAATAAAAGCCAATTCTCTTGTTGTTCTCTTCAAGTTTCTCATTGCATGATGCTATAATCATGATTTAATTCTTGCCAAGACTTTTTTGAGAAAACCAGTGTCTTCATTGATTGCTGAGACTTGATCATGTCCGTACTTGGTTGTCTTTGAAGATATTTGTTTCTTGGCTTTTTCTGTGACAATTTTTGTTGACAACGTCAATCAATGGACTGCTGACATTGTTGACAAAAATTATGTTGGAGCTGTTAAATCACAAGATTGACACTGGTGTTTATGACAAGAGTTAGAAAAGGACTAAATCGTGTGAAGAGCTTGCTTCCTTCCAGCAACAGTACACTCAAAGTTTGGGTAACAAATCATTGTTGGATGCCTCGACATTTACCCATCAGAACTCCTGTCCACAAAATCATCCTAAAGTACAGTGCACCAAGAAAATTAATCAGTGATCAAGGCTGTTACCCAGATAGTGCAGATAGTGCTTGCCATCTCACCCAGATAGTGCAAGAAGTGCTTGCCATCTCTAGCAACATTTACTGATATATGATGATTCACAAATCAACAACCTGATCAAGAGATTCAACTGGATTCTAGTGGCATAATGTCCACTAGTGTTTGGCTGAATGCTGCTGCATCAATGTTACCCATTGCCAATGGGACCAGGTGTTGCCTTATGTGACATTTGCCTACAACAACTCTTGGAAAGACACAATCATATACTTTCATATACTTGCCATTTTTCCTACTTATGGCTGGCATGCAGTGGTCCCTGAAGATACTTTAATCTCAATCATTCCAGAGATGATTGATTGTATTGTCTTGGTTCACAACAGTCTAGTGGAGGCTCAGAACCAGGTCCAGGCCCACCCCCTGACAAGGTGTAAATAAACAATACTATGATGTCTACTGATGCTGTTCTTTATGACCCTAGAGTCTTGCAAGGAAAACTTTCTGACCCACACATGAAGAAAATGATGTTTCAAGAGTTATAGGATATTTATTTTTGAGAAAAATGAAAATGAGATTGATTTTTGTATCTAGTCTCACCAAGTGCTAAAAAGTGATCTTAAAATTACAAACATATATAACAATACATATACAAACATACAAGTATCTCATGCAACATTGCCAGCTTCCCCATTAGTGAAATGTAATAAGACATGTTTTTTCTATTTATCTCCAGTAACTGTGATTTGAGTCTAATTTATAGATAAACCTATATTTTTTACCATTTGCTGTCATGTTTTTGACGAGACTATGTCTAATCTACAAAATCGCACTGCTGTCAACAGTTGGACACCTTAGAGGTATGAAGGAGTACATGTCAGGAGTTGCAATTTGGCACAGAGTATTTGGTGCCCAAATCATGCACACACAAAAAAAAACTAGACTTGTAGGTTGTCAGGGGACCAAGAACCAAGTCAAAATAAAATATAAAATGGTGACATTGTTTCTACAGTCACTAGTGCAAGATTTGCACGTGTTGTTCGTTGTGAATTTCGAAATGCGAACATTGCAAAATAAAATTTTGACAAACGCATGTGTTGGGAAGTTCAAAATGTGTATGTTGCGAAATCTAATTTTGACAAACGTGTGACACATGTTACACATGTATTCTCTTGCTCTTGTTTTACCATCCTGCGAAACAATGAAAGCAGCATCGGGACAATTCGAGTACAAATATCTTCCCGCTTACAATAGCTAAGAACAGGCCCGTGACAACGCAATCTGTTGTAACCATGGTGGCAACAAAGCATGCTATAATCTATGCCAGAACCCTGAGTACCAGTGTTGGTTTCTCCTTATTGGTTAGTCTCATTTTTCTTGTGCAGCTGAGCTCTGACTCTCTGAGACATAGTCTTGTCCCAAAAATGGCCTTGTCATTTTACTTGTTATTTCTATGTATTGATGTATTTATATCTGACTGTGACAACTTTTGGTAGAAAGTTTTGCAACAGAAATGTTCCAGTCACCAAAACTATAGGATTTTTGTTAATGTTTAGTTTAATTTTATGTAGTCGTGCATTGAAAGTTTTACTTTGCATTGATATTTATATAAATTTTATCCATTAAGATAAATTGTGTAAGATGTTGATGGATATAATAATCAACTTTTCCACTAGAAGCCAATTACTATTTTTAATAAGAACATTTTAATGAAAAAAGAATATATGTAGAATAAATTCAAATATGGAAATGAGGAAACAGTTCTATGATCACAAAATAGTTGAAACAAATTATTTTCATTTCTGAAAAAATTAAGAGCTGTAGAATTTAATTAAATGTATTCATTAGTTATTGAAAAATTTGACATATATAACAAAGTTATATGTAAAATTATAAAATAAAAAATACCGTACTTTCCAGCGTATAAGACAACACCCAACTTTTACAGTTAAAATATAGAGTTTGGGATATACTTGCCATATATGACAACACCTGGTGTATAAGATGACCCTTGACTTTTGAGAAGAATTTCCTGGGTTAAAAAGTTGTCTTATATGCTGAAAAATACTGTATTTATTACAATTTTGTAATATTTAAAAATATATTTATGTATGTATTTATTTATTTGTTTGTTTTAGTGTCAGCTATGCAAGAAATATATTGATAATAATATTAAAGTCATGAAGCATATGAATGGCCACATAGAGAAAAGTCGGCAAAAAAATCTTGATCTACTTGATTTAACTCAATGTAAATATTGTTTTAAAGAATTTCAAACACCATACAGTATGCAGTGTCATATTGAGGCTGTAAGTAAAGTAGATAAATAAGTTGAATTAAGGTCTAATTAATATTAGTAATAAATTTAATTCATTAAAATTAACAATATAACAAAAATAGAAGAAAAAACATAAATATCATTTTTAATTCAAAATTATCATCAGAATTATTATAAACTTTAAACTAGTAATGAATTATAATAATTTAAATATTCATCTTGTTAGGAGTAGTAAAAACGTATTGAGGTTGGATGTCACGCCAACTTTTATTTTAATTAAAGCTTCTTCAAAAACNTAAAAAATAAAATTGACTTATTTGATATTAATAATTTTTCTGAATTAGATTGACAAGTTTTGAATAAGTTTCCTATTGCTTACCAATAGGAAACTAGAGAAGAAGAACATCCGAATTCTGTTACTCATCTTGTTAGGAGTAGTAAAAACGTATTGAGGTTGGATGTCACGCCAACAAGTTGGCGTGACATCCAACCTCAATACGTTTTTACTACTCCTAACAAGATGAGTAACAGAATTCGGATGTTCTTCTTCTCTATGTTAAATTTAAATATTACTAGTTCATAGTAATAATTTGTTTTATGAAAGAAAAACTCACTGTTTTTAAAGAAAACTTACTCTTGACACTTCAGAAACATAACAAAACATTAACACAAGCAAAATTTAAAGAAGTTTTTGAAATTATGAATACAGTAGAGCATCGATTATCCGACCCCCAATTAACCGTCACATCAGTTAACCGACCGTTCTAGTCGGCAAATTCAAATGTCTGCTAGTGATGTGGAGCTACAATATTTGGCTATGTCTTGGCTACTTTAATAGTATTTTTATGTGTTTTAGCTGGCAACATGGCTTGACCATGAAAGGGAGCCAATATTTAAACGAGGCTTAATTTTCTAATTATTATTTTTAAAAAATTTTTGTTAGGCTTAACATCGCTGAAAATTCAAAACGAAGTAAGTTAATAGCGATATACTAATATACTAATTACATGAGATATACTAATATACTATACTAATAATGTATTTTTTCATATTTTTCGGTTATCTGTTTTTTTCAGTTATCCGACCAACCCCAGTCCCCAATTGAGTCGGATAATCGATGCTCTACTGTACTGTTATCTCTCTACAGTGAAGATTTCTTTAGACACTTTATCAAACAGAACATACTTAAATTGAAATGCACAAACTATCTATCCAAATTCAAACCAAATGCCCCTTAATTATTATCTATTTATTTATTTAATTTAAACTTAATTATAGTTTATATTTAACTAGTAAAAATATTAACTAAGTTAATATTTAATTAACTTAGATATTTTTTTAAATTAAATAAATTCATTTGTAAAATTGATTTAAATATTAAAACAACTAGTGGCAAAACGATCTATTGATATTACCAATTCTACTTTATGAAACAAAGAATATAGCTTGTCATATTTTGCTTACATTTTGTAAAAAATAAAATTGACTTATTTGATATTAATAATTTTTCTGAATTAGATTGACAAGTTTTGAATAAGTTTCCTATTGCTTACCAATAGGAAACTTATTCCTTCTATTTTTTGAGAAATATCTGTCATAATTGAAAATATTTCCAATTATGATTTATTTATTTTCAGTATTTATAAGGAAATATTTTCAATTATGACACATCTCACAGAGCCACAAGGAATGCATTCATAAAATATAAATATACAGTTTAACCTGATTATGATGTCATCGGATGTAACAACAACCCTAATATAATGTCAAATTTTTATTGGTCCCATGATTTTTCTATACTAGATAATGTTAAAAAACCCACTTGTAATGATATAAAACCCTGTTTTAACATCATATTTAAAGCACTCCCAGATTTACAAAATTAGATTACAAATTTTATTTAACAAAGAAAATACAGTACATGTACTATGTGTTCAGTTTCTAGGGTCAGAGTCCACTTCCTAGAACGACTGTGGGTGGTACTCTCACCACCTGACTTAGGTAGGATGAGGTTTGTCACATCTTTAAACGACATGATGATTGGGATAGTTCACATAGTTACTTGTTGTCATGGTGATACTGTGTAATGACATGATTGGCCAATTTGAACTGGTAACGGATGCTGCCGAGGAAAGATCATAGACCACGATTGGCTAAATTTGAATTGGTGGCACATGCATCTCAAGGAAGAGACGGTTGGCGAAACATCATGCCATGTGGTGGACCTGGAATAGAGATATTACTAGCATAGCTGCTGATTGGTCGGCTGACGGCTTTGACAACTATATAAGGTCAACATGGAATGGGAAATTTGAGTTGGATCCATCTCACTGACGGAGTTCTAATTTGTTATTGACATACCAAATGGTCGTCAATTGTGAAGCTGTTGTAAATTTTAACTTTACTTTTGTGTTGTACAATAGTTTAGCAACAAATCAGGTGAAATTGCTAGCTTAAAAAGGAAAGTGTTAACATTAGACTGCAAAATAGAAATAATTAAAGCAGTTGAAAGTGGAAGAATAAAGGCAGATGTATGCAGAGACTTTAGTTTAGCAAATTCTACAGTGTGCAGAGAGAAAATTTTGAAAAGTGTTCAAGATGGCAAGGGATAAGTGAAAAAAAATTAAGTTATGTGGAAAAGCCGATATTGATGCCACTCTAATTAAGTGGTTTAACTAATGCAGAAGTTCCAAGTTGGACCGATACTAATGGAACTAAATGGACTGATGCTAATGGAAAAAGCAGAAGAATTTGGACGACTACTAGGTGATACTAACTTTAAATGTTCTAATGGATGGCTAGACTGTTTTAAACAAAGACATGGCATAAGTCTCGGGAAAGTCTGTGGAGAAGCAAAATGTAAATTTACTGGATGTTGAAAACTGGTTAAGAGATGTGTGGCCTAAATTAAGGGGGGAATATGCAGATGAAGATATTTATAAAGCAGATGAAACTGAGATATTTTACAAACTTTTACCAGACAAAACATTTAAATTTAAAAATGAAAAATATGTTGGTGGAAAAATTGCAAAAGGTGAGATAACAGCTTTTGTTTGTGGTAATATGACTGGTACATACAAAAGAAAACTTCTTGTAATAGGAAAATCAAAGTAGTGTTTTTAAAAACATAAAAACATTACCAGTAAATTACAAAGCCAACAAAAAGTCATGGATGATGTCTGGGATTTTTGAAGAAGAAATTCGAAAATGCGATAGAAAACTTTTTGGGAAATGAAAAAGTTTTACTCCTTGTCGATAATTGCCCAGCACATCCAATTTTAGAAAATCTAAAGAGCATTAAACTTGTATTTTTTCCTCCGAATTGTACTAGAGTACTTCATCCAATGGATCAAGGAATTATAAAAAGCCTTAAATCTCATTTCAGAAAAATTCTTTTACAGAAAATTATTACAAATATAGAAGATAACAATAAAATGGTAATTTCTTTATTAGATGCAGTTGATTTTTTGGAAAAATCTTGATGTAAGGATAGAGGTTAGTTCACTAATAATAGCAAACTGTTTTTGCCATGCAAAATTGAGTAATAATCAAACAGCTATTACATTTATGAATGATGACAATAATGAGGACGATGACATTCCTCTATCGGAATTAATTAAAACACTTCAAAGTTCAGAAAATGGCAAATTTTTGTCATCTGCTGATACTGAATGTGAGAGTGTAGATGAAGATTTAATAACATTCAAATTTTATACAGATGCAGATATCGTTGAGAAAATTAAATCTTCAGATGAAAAAAATGTGGATGATGAAGATGAAACATCAGACAGAGAAAATGCAGTGCTGTCAACCAGGGAAGCGCATAATGCAGTAAGATTATTGAAAATGTTTTACAGGAAAACTTCATTGAGAATAATGTACATAGTTTATGATTTAGAAAATGACATTGATAAACAATTTTTAGGTGAAAAACACTTATAATCTAAAATAACTTACTTTTTTAAGTGAATATTGTTATTGTGTCTTCTTAATTGGCATACATTAATTTAACCTTTTGTTGCCTTTTGATTTGATATTATTCTCAAAATCAGAAGTGCCGCCATTATCAAAACTTGAGACAAATAAACATTTCTTATAAAAGGTACTTTTTGAAATTTTTAATTACATCGTTGTAAACTTAGACATAATAATGTAAATAAAGTAGATTTAAACATTTTGTTAGGTGTATTAAATACTCGGTTCAGATGTCACGCCAACAGTTAACTTAATCAAAAACTTTGTTAAGAAACTTCAGACTATGTGGTGTTAAATAAAATTAGAAGAAATATTTTAAAATATTTCTTCTAATTTTATTTAACGCCTCATAGTCTGAAGTTTCTTAACGAAGTTTTTGATTAAATTTAAACATTTAGTTTGCACTTTTATACATATGATAAATTATTATTACCATACTGTATTACCATTAAGAAATATAGTAATTTTATGGTAATACATACAATGTTAAATTAGAATGGATTTTGTAATAGATCCTTAAACATGCTTGGTACTTTTTATGAGACTGAAATTATGACCCTGTAGATAATGTCAACACTTGGTTGTAACGTCAAAAAATTGTTGGTCCCATGGATGACATTATAATCGAGTTAAACTGTGTATATATAAGATTTATAATTTTAAATTTATTTTAAAAGATAAAAATCAAATAAAGTAAAATTATATTAAAGATTTACCTCAAAATTTTAGAATGGAGTTGTAGAATATATATAAATTCTGAAAATATATATAATATACAGTATATTATTGTTACATTTTCCAATATTCACCATTGTTACTAAAAAATTTTTATATATCTAAATAAATTTGTCAACCTGCATGTTTATCCTGCATAGAATTTTATTATTTACTATTCTATAATGTAATATAACATATGTGAAATATTATCAGCTGATTGTTGAAATAAATCTGTTTTGGTTGAATTGAATAGACTTTTTCAATTGTCAGAAAAATGATCTGTTCTATTCAGTGCAGTGATGCACAACAATGTAATTATATCTTAACCACATTTAAAATATGCAGAAAAGGAATTCATCTTTTTTCTTTTTTAAGATGAATAAGATCTTTGAAATGATATACAGTTGAGCCCCCCTATAACGCAGTAGATACATTCCGCTTTATAAGAATTTCGTGTTGTAGGAATCCTTAAATACATGAGCCAATCACAGCCCGGCACGTGTGCAGTTTATGGACTACGGCTGTTTGAAAGGTTTCTTCCATAAAATTAATTGATTCTAGACTAATTTGACTCAACATTTCCAAAACACATATAATTTTTTGGGAATAATCCATATAAACTATACTATAAACAAAAAATTGTAGGATTACTTACTGAGTGTGCGCCGTTTGATGACGCCATTGCTTAAGCTTGTTTTCGTTGCGGAGCTGTGCACCAAACAGTGGGCACATTTTCTGATAAGTTATTTTTCTGCAAAAAATTCCTTGAACTTTGGAGACATCATTAATAGAAATAATTTTTATGGCCATTGAATAAAAAATGTTTTTTTTCACAAAAAATGTATAAAATTACAGTACTGTATTAGACTTACAGTACCTAATTTATATACTGTACAGACAATAGTAAACTCAACTTACCCGCCTAAACTCTCCGTAGTGTGTAAGTAGTTCGGTTGCTTGTCCACTATTGGTCCAGATTCGACCAATCCTGTCGCAACACGAGTCGGCAATGACGTTTTACTGCATTTTACAAGTCTCTGTTAGCTTTTTTTATACAAATACAGTCACAATTTTTTCGCCACAATGTACAAATCCGCATTATATGAACCCACGTTATAAGGGGGTCTACTGTATTTAACAATACACTCATATGTCTCTCTACATAAATTTACAACTTCTACTTACTGTTTGGATAAGTTAAAATAGTCTGGAGAGGATTTACATTTGGAGTTTTTTCTAGATTTCTGAATTAATGAGTTAATTAAATTGTCTAATTATTAAACTTTCTGAGAAATTAAATGTCTGTTTCTAATAACAAATAATAAGTAAAAGTTTAGATACAGAATAGTTTTAATAATTTCCTTATAATGATTAAAAATCATTAGTGTCCTCAAATTTGTATTGTAATATTGGTTTATTCCAATTTTTGCCAACTTTCTCTACCTTTAATTAAAGTTAATAACAAATGGCAGTCTGTTTTTTGCAATGTCAAATTATTTAATTAGCAAAATTAAAACACTAATTTTCACTAAGATTATTATTTAATATTTAGAGCAATTAGACTTTGGAAAATTTTGTATTAACAAATTTATTAGCTATGTAATAGTTAAAACCTAATTAAAATAGCCTTGATAACTTGTCATATATTAGTTTTTAATTGATTGGTTAATTTTAAATTTAACTTTCTAATTTTTATATTTTATATAATTGAATATGTAAAATCTTACAGATATACTTATTTTTGTTACTTAAATGGTAAATTTTTACTTTAGGTCCATCTTCAAACAAATTCATTGGCTTGTCGTATTTGTAATCAAGGTTTTCCTGATGTAACTTCTCTTGTTTATCATATGAAAATGATTCATTGTCAAACAGAAATGCCATATTCTTGTTCAGTCTGTCATTATCGTTCATCTTTTCATAGTGATGTAATTGAACACTTTCAGCAGGTAATTATGTTATTAATTTTTTAATTTTATAAAATAATGGCCTGTATGAATAAAAATGAAGGAAATGCTAATAAGCAAATGTATTTCCTCTGTTTGGTATGAATAATGATTACCTTATACTTCCAAACAAATGCTTTTGGTAAACGATTAAAAGGTTCTCAATGTGCAGGTTATGACACATTTAATCTTATTCCTATGTTCTATTTTATTAAGTTTATTCAATTCATATTAATCGTATGCGTGTTTGCCTTTGTTAATAAGTGTAGTATCCAAATTTATTAAACCAGAAATGATGGAAAACAATGATATGGAACTTGAAGTTTGCAGTGGAAGGTGAACTAAAGTTTATTTTAGATGAGTTGACCTCATATCTGGGAGTTTTATCTAAATCCCAAACACCTAATGTAAAAAAAAGATAAAAGATGAAGCATCAAAAAAGTATTAATCAAATATGAAGCAGTACTTACAAAACAAATTGATGGAACAAAATTAATGAAGGAAACTAACAATATGAAAACACCAAGTTCTTCTTCTATGCCTTCTTGAATCCAGGATCAGCTAAATATCTTAAACATATTTTCATTTTTCTGTAAAGAAGTTAGTGCACCACCACATGATTCAGTCACCACTCCTAAAAAATTATGTGCCAACCATTCAACACTTTCTTTTTCAAATCTAAATAACACCTTGAAATCACTGACTTGTGAATGAAGTTTATAATACTTAACATTCCTTAGATTAACTACTACAGCCATGGTTAAACATTAACAGAAAATAAACATAGATAAAAGCAACAACAAACCACACTTCCTGCAGTTGAGTCTATCTGACTTGATGCATATATTTTGAAGGATATGCTTATAATTGTAAGTAAATGCTTATAACAACAAAATACAGTATATTTGTTTTCCCTCTGATAAAATAAAAAAAATAAAATCATCTACAATAAAAACAATAAATAATTGTAATATTTAAAATATAAATAAAATATTTATTCAGTGTAGTATGTATGTGAGATTATCAAGCTTGTTAAACCATCTTAAACCAACTTTAATTCATACAAATACAAGGGAATTTCAATAAGCAAAAGTTTTGATGTGTATGGAAAATACAAAATATACAAAATGATATATCTGGATTAAGCTACTTCCTGACATAACATAAGAACCATTCAGGTTCAATCACTTGTCCCAGTGGTGTATTTGCTTGAAGATGCTTGCATTTTAGAATATCGGTTTCTGGCCATACAACCATCTGTGAACAGCTGATTTAACCTCCTTGTCGGAATGGAACCTCTCTCCAGGCAATTTTTCTGACAGTGAAGCGAATGAGGCGGTTTCTTTGAATCATTTGATCAACTGCAGTGACTGTTTGAGGCGAAGCTGCCCTTACCAGACAACCTGACCTGTGCTCATCAGTCATACACTGACGACCGTTATTGAACATTTTGCATTGTCCATGCAATTGTCATTGAACACTTTCTTCATTTCCGCATTAATTTGTTCACATTTCTTTCCCCCTGCCCATAGAAAATAAATAACACTTTGCTGCTCATGGAGGGTGGATGTTGATAGCGTGAATGCTATTTTCTTTTCATTTGTCAGAAATGTCTGACAGGCAACACAAGTGTTCCTATCATGCAGTAGTGTTGCCAGAAATTCAAACTTCATTTACTATATTCATGTTTTTGCATACACATTAAAATATTCGTTTAAAAAAATAAAAGGCATTACTTATTGAAAGACCCTCATATTTTACAAAATGTACAGAACTTGTTTTTAATTTTTTGTACTTTCATATCTCATATGACATAATAGATTTTAATATTTGGTCTGAAATAAAAGATAATGAAATTATTAAAAGCAATATCAGATAATTAAAAACACATTTCCTGAATTATTTCAAAATTAGTTTTTAAACTTTTCAAAAATGGTCAATTATACTGTTTCCATACTGTATTTTTATTTAATTCCATTTCTCTTAACTAATGGTATTATAAATCAAAATATTTTTTAAACTTATAAAGAACTTCTCATTCATTTTTTAAAATTATTGTTACATTTTGTTACAAATTACAAAAATTTTTCTTTAATTTATTACCTTATTCTTCTTGCAAAATTTTGATGTTTTTAGTTTTGTGATAGTTTACCTTTCTCATATTTTTTGTAACTGAATTTTACATTAATTTCTGTTATTACTTTTTTATTAAATGCTTTATGAGACATTATTGAATAATATGAATAGTATCGTTTTCTTAATTGGACTGTCATTACAAGCTAGTATTGCCATTGCAACACAATTCCTAAGAAATTTATTTATTTTTATACTGAATAGAAGGTAAGGAATAATACTATAATTTGAAAAAAAAATTATATGATGACAAGTTTTTAAAGTTGTAAATTGTAATTTATTTATTACATTTAGCTGATACACTCTTTTCTAACTGCACTTAAATAAAACTCATACCTCGAAACAAAAAAAAAAACCTTTAAAATGCAGCCTTTTTATTCGCTTTTCCAAATGTTTTTGGCCATTTTGAATGGCCTTCCTCAGGAACAGAAAAATCGAATGATTCTGACTTCTATAACGAACTTTGCTTTGGAACATTTAAACATTTGAATTTTCTTGTCTAGTGCAAGTTTATGTGTATATTGGTACAACTAACCAGTATAGATTTTTTTTTTTTATGAGCCTGCGCACTAGATAAGAAAATTCAAACATTTAAACGTTCCAAAACAAAGTTTGTTATACAGTGTGTCCAGAATGGGTGAGTGCAGTTTAAAAGTAAAATAAATTAAAAATAAAAAATGTTGAAAGAAAGTTTTGTTTTTATTTTCAATCTATGGTTATTGGAAAATTATTTACTAAAAATTGTTTTCTAAATGGTGTCTGTTACGCTCTTGGCATGCTTCTAATCTTGAGCGAAGATTTCTCAGTACACGTTGACACAAAGCCTGAGATACCAATGCCATTTCTGCTGTGATATTCTGCTTTAATTGACTTAATGTCATTGGCTTATTTTTGTACACCCTGTCTAAGGATTTTTCTTGTTTTGAGGTATGAATTTAGCTAATATTTGTCATCAATATTTTTATGATTAAAATCATAATATTAATCACTCATTTATAGTTATTTGATAATTGTTTATATCATATTTTTAACAGTTTCATATATTTGAAATAATAGAATCAAAAACAACTGTGTAAGAAAAATAAAAAATGAAGTTCATTCAGATATTAAAACAAAAAAATTACTTGTAATATTATAAGAAAAGAAAAATAACAACCTAAATATTAAATTAACTTTCTCATATTTGTGGAAAATCAACAGAAAATATAATTCAAATAGTCCACAATACTAAAGATTTAACTTAAAAAACTTAAATACTTAACCAAAAGCATTTCTCGTAAGCAGATTGAGCTTCTTCTGTTGGAGATGTTCTAAAAAGGAAACAAATTCAAAAGATCAGTTTGATTAGTTCAAATGTTCATAACATAAGTATGACGAACTGTATGTATGTTCTATAGAGATATATTATATCTCTATAGAAGTAATAACATAATTCCATATGTTAGAAATCTTCATTGTGGAAATAAGGCATGCTATTGATGTTTTTATATGCAATGTCTCTTCTAAGAATAAAATTTGTGGAACTTTCCGGTTAGCAGGATGCCATTAAAATTCCTACTATTTTTAGCAAATATGAACTTTTATTTTGCAATTTTTAAATAAATCTAATTTTAAACCTAAATTGAATAAATACAAAGAATTTTTTTTACATACAACAGAATGACAAAACTTCTCATTTTTTATAACTCTGGCATATCATTTTGGTGGCATAAAGTTTGAGATGTCACACAACATAGCTTAAAAGGCTTCCTGTTTCAAATGTTGTCTTCTCCACATAAATTTGATAAGATAGGACTCTAAGTGATGACAAGAAGTACTGCGTTGTACTTTATTTCTCCATTTAGATATTCCCTTAATTTCTCAATATTTTGTCTATGACATCCTGTTTCGGATTGACAAAATTAAATTTATGATTGATCTGATAATGATAATATCCAGCTTCTTCTAATCCTTAGTACTGTATGCTTTCCAACAGTCTGAATATATAGTTGTTCCTTTGAGCACATGATTTTTTTACTTCCTTCAGTAAGGTTTTTGCTGAACAGTCTGGAACTGGAATGAGAAAACATCCTTTCGACTCTCTATGTAAACTGCCAAACACTGTTGCGGAAGTACATGGCCGACATTATGCTTCCTTTGCATATATTTCGGCAATCTTATTAACACCGCCAATCTATAAATTACAACAATTTATTAGGAAATGAGCACTAACTTCTCTCATGTAACTGTTCCAGTCCACAGTAGCACATCGATTTAGGCCTAATTGCATTTGACAAAATTCACAGGAAGAAAGGTCCAACAACCATAAATAGATGAAACACATAGCATTTAAAAATGATATGTGTAATCCTATGAACCAGTTGTCGGTTCTAATTCTCTTCTTTTCACGACACATTCTTATGTGACATCTCCATTTTGGACTTTCTGTCAAACAAAAATACAAAGACATTTGGTGCTTATTGGTGCACAGTCTTTTAATATGCAAAATTCCTTGTTTTTGAAATAGAGCAATAGCACCTTCTTCATATTGAGGAATATCCCATAATGTATATTCCATTTTCAAATATTTTTAAGAAACCAACTAGAAAAGACACAAACACACTCCACAAACAATAATCACTATGAAAGTAGGATAAATTACGACTTTTTACGCCAATGTGCAAAACCACTCTGCATATTCATGTAAACTTGATGTAAAATTGATGATGTTGCATCGTCAGATTTGTAAAAACCAAAAAAAGATAAAAAATTAATAATTATGATATCAAAGTTATTCTTGTAATAAAGGTTTACAACAACAGATGTAGTAAAATATAATGAATTTTCACTACTTTAGTGAAAAAAGCATGTGAATATGATAATCATTTTGTTGAACTTAGAGTAAAGATAGAATGCGTGTTAAATTCACAAACAACTTTCATAAATTTTTAAATCCTATTAATAGAAATAGTAAGTTTGCATCCTTTTTCTCTCAAAACTATTAATCAGTTGTAACTTAGAAAATTTCACACAAATTCACGATTTTGATATATCCTCTGTTGACTAGCCTCCTGCTAACTGGAAAGTACCAAATTTGCTGATTTCATGATGAAAATAAAAGTTTGCTTTCATTCCATTTTGGTTTGTAATTTTCATCTGAAGCAAGATGACTAAAACTGTCATCCTTCTTTGATACTGTGCATCTTTTTGTGATATACTTGTTAAAATTTCTTTCAGTTGCTCCAGCATATGCTAGAGTACTTCTTTCTTGCTTTACTAATGGCATGCTATATAAGCCTGATTTTTTTCTGTCTACTCATCTATATCTAATTTTTGCAACACAATCTGCGTAGTTTGAGTAAGGTTGTAACAAATATCCAAGAAACAAGGTTCTTGCACAGCTTTAACAATTTATAGCTACCTAATTTATAGTTACAATTTATTTAAGTTACCTGCAAAAAGCATGTCTTCTTTTCTTCTGATGCTAAGAATGTTAGGTGGAAACAGTTTGTACTTAATTCTGTGAAGTAAATAATTAAACTTTGAGGCTGAGAATTCACTATCATGCATAGTATTCTGAATTGTTTTTAATTCTAATTTTAATAGAGTTGCAGAGGAAGAATATTTGTAGGTTCTCAATATATGTGAAGTAAAACTAGAATTAACAAATTTGTTAAACTGATTTGACCCTCTAGTTGGAAATAATGGAAATAAACTATTCTTGTGGCAGATGCTGAAATCAGATAAGGAAACACACCTTTTGATTTCCAGCAATAGTTTAATACCATAAAAACGTTTTTGACTTATTCTTTAATCTTAAAATGCTATTTTTGTATTTGATTTGTTAGTCCTAACTGAGTAAAAGTTATTAATAGGTCAAAAAGCATTTTTTGGTATTAAACTAATGATAGAAATCAAAATGTGTTTTCTTATCTAATTGCATTAAATCCAGTGATGCTGAAATCAAAGTTGTTATCATGAAACAATATTAACAAATCAAGGAAGGTAATTATAATGGTATTTTGTGCCTCTAGCAAGAACTGAATATATGGAAAAATATTATTAACATGATCAAAGAAAATATCGGTCATTTATGCCATGCTGCCACCCTGTTAAAAAATCATCCTCATACCTACATCAAAAATCTGGATATGGGATTGCTAACAGTTTATGGAATACCCATTCTTCTAACTGTCTTGTAATTATTTCAGCCAAAAAAGATGACAATGATGAACTCATTGGACACCAGATTACTGCAGATAAAACTTACTTTTATAATGAAAATAATTAACTTGACAAATTAAATGAAGCTTGTCAACCTTTCTATTTCCCATATTTATTTTATTTTCTAATAAACTTTCTGAGAAGTATACAGCCTCAAGTGTATGGACAGAGGGGTATAAATTATACATGTATCGTTTTGACTTGGTTTAACAGACATAACCACTTCATGGTTTGAATTTCTGAAGTTAGAACACAAATGGAATCACACAATGAATGTTGCAAAAGGCAAACTAGCTTTTCTCCAAAGCAAAAAGTAGGATGCAACTTTTGTTCACCAGAGGTCTTAAAAAGGCCAATTAACTTTATGTACAGTACCTTAGTTTCAAGAAATATTCCGAGAGCAGCTTTGCATCTCAGAACCACATTTTGGAGTATAGTATTACCTTTTTAAAGCTACAGATTTCAAAAGAAAAAATATATAATTAAATTTCTCTTGGAAAATTCTGCATATTATTTTTAAGAATGTTAGTAACTACTCTCATCATTATTTAATTTATTTATTTTTAGTATCATAATGGATCAAATGAAATTATGTGCCATTATTGTCTTAAAGTATTCGTAATTAAATTTTCTTCAAGAGGACTTGGTTTTGTACTAAAATTTTATGATCATCTTCATAAGCATCAGTGTAAATCATCATCAAAAAAGTGTTCATCTTGCTGTTTAACTTTTTTAAATATACAAGATTTGAGGAACCATAAAACACGGGATCATCAGAGTATGGCATCAGTCAAAGGTAATAAATTAATTAACATTTATATGAATTAATAGAGAAAAAGTTTTATTTTTAAAGTTAAATTTAATTATCATTGATTGAAATGTTTTTGTAAAAATGTTGTGAGAATTTTTATACTAATATAGAAATATATGGTAAATTAAAATGGTTATTAACTGAAATAAGCATTTAAGATAGATAATATAGAAATACTTTTGAATTTCAACTAAATAGTTTTGAATTCAGATATTCAATTTGATGTTCAGTATTGAAATTCAAAATTAAAATATTTTATTTCTTTGATGTTGTTTAAATCTAAATTTGAAGTTTTCTATAAAAATAAAATAAAATTTATTAGTAAATCTTTAACATGTGGTGATGATAATTTATTATTGATATATAATTGTTAATATGCAGTGGTTGCTACTTACTGTGATCAGCTGCTTAATGTAATTAAACTCCATTTTCTCAAATTGCTTCTATATTTCCTGTGTAAAATCTTATTAGTTATTATGATCAGCCTGTTGCTTATTGTATCAGATTAAACTAGAGTATTTATGATATTTATAACTGACAAATAGGATTAGTTTAATATAACTTTTTGCAAGCATATTACTTTTATAGAAGTAATATTTAATAATTATCTTTGCTATTTTTTAAAAATGGAACTTACTGTAGATTTATTAAAAAGCATTCTATACTGGTTGGCATATTACTAATTGAGAACCACTGTTACTCCTGAATAAGATATATTTAGAACATTGAAAACTTTAAATAAATAAACATTGGAGTTACTATTATAAAACTGTATCTATTATTATTTATTCAGTAACACTATTCACTGATTTTCTTTAGTTTTATATATCTTAATGTGCTATTCTGTTGATACTGTAGTGTATGGATGGCCAACTTTTTATTGCTGTCATCAACTTTCATTATATTAAAACTAGTTGTGATCTACTGTTAGAAATGATGTCACTACATAACATAAGTTTATAGTAACATCTAAATAAGCTGTGACTCATAACTGTATGTACAGTATAAGCAAGTATTCAAGCTTTCTCTTATTCATGATTTAATATTGAAAGTAATTTAACCCATTCAAGGCCAGGTTTTTTGACAGCTGCTGGCACCGCAGGTTTTTGTCTGAGTGAAGCCTAACATTATTCTGTCATATATAAAAGTTATTTTTCGTAATTAATTTATGAGTATAAACTATTTTTATATGTGAACTATTTTATTTGTTAAAAAGTTTATTTTTTATATTTTTACATGATTCCTTCACTAAATAAAAGCAACACAATATCATCTGTTATGTGATAATTTTCATCAATTATTTCACTAAATTAAAAAAAAAATCAGTAGTGTAATTAATACATCATCTGTATAAATATAAAATTTTCCATTTTTCATTGGTGGTTAAGATTTTCGTCTTTCAAATCATCATTTTTTACCACAGTCTCACCACACACTTAAATTTAAATCTCATATAAAAACAACATCCTAATACTAGTTAATATTAATCCAAGATCCACTAGATTACAAAATCAATGAACCAGCATAAAAGAACTACTCACTTTGAGAAGCAAACATTTTCATTCATTTTTAAAAGGACATCCTCAGACTGGTGTTCTAAAATTTGAATTACGCGTTTTTAGAACAAATCATAAATTTTACATAGTCGTTGATGATTGGTGGAATGTGTGTATGTAGCAACTTGTGTGGAATGTTCTGTTGAATTTACATATATTTTTCACAGGTTTGGGGTTGCATTATCCTCTTTATAGTTGATGGCTTTTGACTTTTGAGCCACCCTTTAGATCTCCATTAACTCTAGATATCTGATATGTGATCTATCTGCTGTTCTATGTATGATTTTGGCTGAATAGAAATGGACCTTCATGTCAGGGTCCCGAGCATATGTTGATAGGACAGAGGTTAATAGGCCTTTTGATATGTCAGCTTGGTGTTCCTTTAGACCAGGGGGTCACCAAACTATGGTCCTCAGGCCAGATCCGGCCCGCTGCCACACATTGCCACAAATGAGCTGAAATATAATTATTTGTATGGAAAAGCATGAATTGTAGATGAACTTACTATGTAGAAAAAATTAAAATAAGTATAAGTAAAAGTGACAAAATTGGTCCAATCTGATTTTTGCATTTGACAGTAATATAATTTTTAGGAAAATCAGTGAAATGAAAAATTCAGCGACTTTTTGCGACTTTGGTATTTAGAGCGCTTTTTGCAATGAAGTTTCTAAGAAAAGTGATTATGAACTTGCTGCAGCAATTGTGTATTGGTAAATAAATATGTTGGTTTTTTTAATTTTTTGTGTATTCAGTATACTATATTGAACCAAATGGTTATGTGGCCCCACTCATCATTCTCTCAGTTATCTGGTTCCGTCCATTATTCTCTCAGTTATCTGGTCCTACTCATCATTCTCTCAGTTATCTGGCCCATTGTGAAAAAAGTTTGGTGACCCCTGCTTTAGGCAGATGGTATTGTGTCAACATCTGGCTCCTATGTATTCTAATTCTTCGTAGATTATTTTTCTGTCATCATCAAAAAACTGCTGCTAAAATTGAAGATAAACTATTCCCTGATTTCTCCAAATTAAAATTATCTGTAAAAAAAATAATTTATTCTGAATAATATTTATTGTTTCACGTGTTTTTATCTATCTTGTTATTGATATTGTTGTAGTGGAGGTGGCATATATTATCTTTGAGACATTGCCATATTTTTAATGTATAATCAAAATTAATAAATAAATGAGTGTTGTGTGTATGCATATTTTCAAATTTATTCCAAATTATTTAATTGCATTCTGAACTGGCATGCAACTAAGCTGGTTACATGTAGACTAAACCTACTAGTTGTATTTATCTTTACTAATTTGTAAAGATAAATACAATTAGCAAGTTAGCTTTACTAATCATGCTTTGTTTCTTTTCATCTTTACTAATACATACATACAAGAAAGACTTTGGCTGTACACAAGGTGTTTAGCTGGTGGAAAAAAGGGTAAGGAAAAGAGGAAGGGAAGAATGAGGGAGATGAGATAGAGAGTAGAGAAAGGTAGGATCCCTCTGAACGGCATATGTATAGCTACAGTACATCTTTACTAATAATGCTTTGACAATTGACAACCCAACAATTTCTATTTAAAGCTGATAAAATGTACAACATAATATGCAAACTTTGGACTTGAAACTGAAAAAAACCTAGTGCAGACTCAAACTGAACAAAGTAATAGGAGTAAATGAACACCATACTATTATATAATGTACTCTCTATCCAAAAACCCTTTGTAGCGTGTCTTTTTTCACCTGTATTCTTATTTGTGTTATTTTCTAAATATTCTATAATGTTGTCTTTGATTAACTGTTATCATATAAGAATGTTGATTTAAAAAAAAAATACTTGAATTAGAGTAATTACTGGCTATAAATTATAGATACTTGATAGAAACTGTAAATTATACAAATAATCTATACTATTCATCATAAATAAACTATTATAAAATTTCAAACTCATTAGTATGAAAAAACTAGTTTCATTATTTATTGAATTTTGTTATATATATTTTTTTTTATGCAATTGTTATATTTATGAAATTCTATACTTCTCTTAATTATTTTTATTAAATTAATTTTTATCATATTCTTGCCTTACTATCAATGCATAAATTATACATAAGAGTGAAAAATGAAAATAGTTTTTTAAATACCAGTTTTTTAGTCCCATTTTCAAAACGTCAAACATAAAAGAATTTAAAGTGTGTAATAAATTTTGGAACAGTTAATTCTTATAAAGATCAAAAATAAAAATTGCTTAATGTGTTTTCATTTAAGCAGTTTTTTATTTTATAAAGGTGATGCCAAATACCTATTATAAAAATGTAATTCAACTTTAGTTGAATTACTAAAGTTGAATTACATTTTTATAGTATGTACATTTAGTTTTTTTTAATATTAAAAGAATTGAATGAGGCTTAATAATTACTTTTATTATACAAGTTATTTATTTATTATTATATTGTTTCAGGTGTTGTTCCTATAAAATCATTAAGCACAAAACCAATAATTGTTACTAATCCTCATATAAAACCAAATAATAGTGATAATTATGAAGTCATTATTATTGATGACAAAGACATAAACAAATCAAAATTTAGTAAAAAATGTTCAGTCTTAGAAGAGAGAGATGTATCTTTATCTATAGCCAAAGAAGTAATTGGTTATTCTTGTTTTGAATGTAAAAATAGTATTGAACAAGATCATTTCAAGTATGTATTATCTATAATTTCTTTACAGTACATAATATGATTTATAAGCAAAAAATTTAGCAAATATATTGAAATTATTAATAAATAATATTGATAATTTTTTAATTATTTTTTTACACTTGAAGACTAATTACAATATAAAAGACTAATATACATAATATCAGACTAATGATTCACCAAAATTTATTAGAATACTTACATGTCATTCATATTACAGTAAAACCTGTGTAAATCAAGAGCTGTATTCCAGTCGCTTATCTTTTGTCTCTTCTTTCAGAGATAAATGACATCAAAATGAGAGATGAGACTTGTCTTCTAAAAACAGAGACAATTCTGGTCACTAGTAACAATCTTGTCTTTGTTGTTGATGTCACGATTCTACCAAGTTGATTATACATGTTCAGGTTATCTGCACATGCAACACAATACAGAATTTTAACCAATAAAATTGTAAAATTTTCAAAAATGCAGAGTACAAAATTATATATCACATGGTAAGGAAAACATGAAGTTCAAATAAAGTATAGTTTTGACAAAGATATGTATTTGTTTTATAATGTTTTTATGGATTGTCTGTATTTTGAGTAACATCAGTCAGCCAGAATGTGAATGGATATTTGCTTTGCTTATTTGGGTTAAGTTACATTGTTCATACCCAAAAACATCTGTTATCACATTGAATAGGTTTCCAGTTTATAGTAAAACTTAACATAAAAAATCATTCCATTCTGAAGAATTTTTTTCATTTAAACAGGTTTTACTGTTATTCAGGTTCTGTTTTAGACAGGTTTTACTGTAATTTAACTATTTTAAGTTTAATTATTCATATTTCTAAATTATCTAATAATTAAATAGTTTAAAGGTGAATCACTAATCCAATAAATTTTGAAGAATTGTTAGAATTTGATGTTAATAACAGCACTGATTGTATTTATAATTATGAATAATATACTTTTAAAAAGTAAAAAAAGAAGTACTGTTGGATTGAAATAACTATATATTATAACGTGAGAGATATGACTGATACATTCCTGAAAATTATTCTGTTAGCTCTTAATAATATCTATTTGAATTACATTTTACTTGTAAAGCATTTTTAAATCATTTAATTTATAACTTTTAATATATTTTAGAAAGTTTTCTGTATGTAAGATATGTCATTATTCAACTAATTGCAATAAAGCATTCCTAAATCATATGGTTCATCATGAAAATAATTCAGGAAAACTACAAACCAAATCAAGCATACAGTTCAACCATCCAATGTTCTGTGTCTGTGGTTTTTCTCATTCCAATGCAGACATTCTTGGTGAGAATTATTTAAAATTTAATAAACAGTAAGAGATAAATATAAATTTAATAATTTATTAATCATTTAATCTACAGTTGATTTATAAAATATTGCCATAGATGAAAATAATAAATTATAAAACCAAATTGTCTTCCAGACTTTTTTATTGGACTAAGTTAAGGCTAATTAATAATCAGATATAAAGCAATTAGCCAAATTGTTTTGTATCTGATTATTAATTAGTCTTAACATAGCCCAATAAAAACATCTAGAGGACTATTTGATACTACAAGTGTATCAGATTGTATATGTTATTACATTATAACATGAGAAGAAATATAAAATTCTTTTCAGTTATTTATAAAAGAATTTTATAAAAATAAGAATTAGAAAAAATTTGTTTTAAAAATGACAATAGTTTTAATGACTTAAATGTAAAGATTATTATAAAACTTACAAATTACAACTAAATACAATAAACTTTAACTTGGATTCAAATCTTTTTTATAAAAATATAATATATCTTTCTTTTTGTTATAATGTAAATATAAATCTGGAAAGATGATTAAGGTTTTACAAAATCTTTTAGCAACTTCTGTCATCTTAAAAGTGATGCATATTTATATTTTAATTAATAAAAAAATTATGCAAAAACAATGTTAAATAAAATATTGTTTTTGCATAATTTTGTTTATTTATTTAGTAACAAGTAATGACACCCAGGCACCCATTTGAAATGCATATGTATTAATAATGTAATAATCATGGTTAATATTACTATACCAAACGTAAATATATCATTAATCTTATGTAAATTAATATATTTGTATAGACAAAAAGGATCAAATTTTATAAATCTATAAAAAAAAAAGTCATTTGCAAAATAATAGCTGTGTTGTATTATTTTTTGAGTTTTCCGTGTGATTAGATCTGTAAGATAATAATTTAATTTATATGTATATATAAATGAGGATGTTTGTTTGTTTACTATATACTCCTAGGCTATTTAACCAATTGCTACAAAACTCAGCAGTTATATTTACATACTTCTAACTTAGATATTGCCATAATCTACTCGAAAATATCTGTTGAATTTCTGTAAATCAATTAATTTCTACATTCGATTTGCTTATTTACACATAGCACCATCTATTGGCAAAAAATTTAACAAAATAATAAACTAAATATAATTCTTGCAAAAACAGATATAATTTTAAAATATATATATATTACATTTATTTAACTACTGAGACAATGATATAGCACTGATATTACTGCAATAGGTAGCATGTAGCACTTGCCACAGATTTTTTCATTTCTGAATGGTACTTTCTTAATAAGTGTCCTCCAATAACCAAGTGGATAAAACCACCAAACTCTGGTAGTTAGTTAGTTGTGGGTTCAGGCATTGCCAACAGGCTGGCCATATGCAATTTTCTGGGTTTTGTTCACATTAATAGCATCCAGCTTCCTGTAAAAGTCTTACTGGGATGCATCCCACTTGGCAGATTGCTCACATGTCACATTACCATAACCAAATAAACCAAACTAATTCTAAGAGCAATTATTTATTGTGACATTATCATAATGCTGGGTTGAAACTTTTTTTTTGTATAATGTTCTGAATTCTTTTAGTAGTGTCTTGTCCCTGTACATCATACTTTTCCTGTTAGCAATAGAGTTGTGTTGGTCATCTAACTATTCAGGGGAAAATTTTGAATTGAAGTTTTCATTTCAAACCAGAAGTTTGTATATAGATAATCTGGGCCTCCTGCTCCTAAAGTTTCCATATTTGGTCTTGATTTTCATCTGTCTAACTCTTTTCTTGAGATTAAAGAAGGTCGGACAGCAGATGGAGGACCATGGAAATTTATAGGTTTACAATTTTTTCAAATTGCAGCCCAATAATTTTTCTATAAATGTGATATTTATGAATACTGTACATATTGCCCACATAGTTTATACAATCTGTTAAAAAATATAAACTCTTTATTATCACAAAAAAACAATTATTCTTGCATTTTTACAAGATTTTTTATTATTATTTAAACAAGTTTTATATGAAGTCTTTCAGACATTAAAGTTAGCAACTTTGATTACATGCTGGGGCACCACAACCTATCCAACACAGATTACTTTTCAAATTTTAATATAGACTAGTATTAATTAGTTGTTGACCATCTTTTCTTCCAGGAGGATGTCATTGACTACTCTTTTTATGGCCCAATTACTTCAACTCCCTTCTGCAACAGTCTCTTCTTCCTATTGGACCAGTAGTATCGTGGCATTCAAATAGGAAAATTACATAATACAAGGTTACTAGCGAGTACAAAATGTGTTTTAAGTGGATTTTGAGGGTGCTGATTTTAAATAGTTGATCTGTTTTCACAAAATATCATTGGTTGGCAGATTACTGTTTGATATTTGGCTGTGAATGGCATGAGTTTTTAGAGTTAACATTAGGAAAAAAAATGTGATATCTTAAAAAATTTAAGATTATCCAAGTATCGCAATAAAACGTGACAATGGTAGATTGATATAACCAACCTATATATAGCGTTTTTATTTTAATGTTTGTTATATTATAGTATTTGATTTATATAAGTACAAACATTAGCTTATATAAGGGTTTATCACACTGAGTGCTCAATCTAACACATTTTAAAAATTCTTTATTTCTCTACTGTACACAATTTAAAGAATTTTTCCCAATTAAAGATCACAGATGTGATATAGAAGGCATTTACATCAGCTCTATGAAGTGCTCCTTGGGGATTAGAATAAAGAGCACATAGCAGACATATAGCACTCCAGGAACACCACTGCGCTTGCCACTTACACCACTGACCTAAACATAGAGCTAGATTTTAATCATAAAGTGTACTTTCTAAATTTATATGTTCTAATAAGTGTATAACTTAACTTATGAAAAGTTAGTTACATTCAATTAACATTTTGTTACATTATCTGAAATATCTGTGCCAAACTTTTCAGATAAATTAAATAAAAGAATTAACTTTCTCATATGTTAACCAGGGATTGCTCTGGAAAACTTAAAAATATTGTCACAATTTTGCCAGTTTAAAATTTTTTTTGTCACTTCATATTGTTTATTGCCACCAGTTTTACTTACTAATTAATGCAGGTGCTGGTTGCCTTATCAGTTTGGCATTTCAAAAGCAAAAGTAACATGTTAAATTGTCACTTACAAGGAAGGAGAGGGCCAGAAGTTTTGTCTCTAATTTGAATGAAACTTGGTGAGCTTGTAGCCTTAAACACAAATACCTCCTCACTTAAATAATAGGATCCACTTTTCAAACATTTCCAAGGAAGTAGCCTATGAAAATTTAGTGTTTAGCTTATAAGAATTTGAAAGTTTCATGTCTAAGAGTGGTGATAGCCAAGTAAGAGACAATGCTCTGGAACTAGTTGATGTAGGACTGTAGTTTTTTATGTGTGACATTATTTTATTATTTTACCACATCATTAGCATTATTATTGCTATTATTATTCCTTTCATTTAAAGTTAATAAAATTTTTGGTATTATATAAAAAGTTACTGTTAAAGTATTTTATGATATATATTCTTATTCTTTCCATAATTTTAGCATCACATCTTTCTTATTGCAAAAAAACATCATGTTATTCCTCTAAACAAGATGCCTTAGCTGCAGCTGTTAAATCAGAACCAGAAGGTGAATATTTTGATTGTCCATCTGCATTTTTTCCTCCACTCGTTGTTCTTGATGATGACGATGAAGAGGAATCAATTAACGAATCCTTTGCCAAGTTATCTGCACCAAATATTTTACTTGAAGAAGAAAAAATACTTCCAATTGATGAAACTATATTAGAAGACCAAATATCAAAGGGTAAAATAATATAAATAAAATTTTATTATGTATTAGTTTTAACATATAATTCAAAACTAATTAAAATTGAATTCATATATATATATATATATATATATATTTACAGATTATAATGACATTTTTTTAATTGTTTTAGTAATATAACTTGTCAAATATTCTAATCTTAAATGCTTTTGGTCAAACCAAAAAAAATTTAATAATAATACAGTAGAGCGTCAATTATCCGAATCAATTGGGGACTGGGGTTGTTCGGAAGATCGATGTTTCGGATAACCGATTATGTATGAAAAAATATATTAATTTATCCCATCTTGACATTTTTCTCCATTGCGTTCATCATTGCGTCAAAATTCATCGCTTCATGTTGAATTTTCGTCGATGTTAAGCCTAACGAAGACTACTGTATTGTTAAAAATTATATTATTATTTTGTACGAACAAAATAAATATATTGAAAAATATAAAAACAATAAAAAATTATACTTCAGAAGTTAATTTAATATCAAAAACGTAAAATATTTGAGTAGCCCAAGACAGCCAAAGATTCCAGCATCACAACACTGACAAAAATTTAAATTTGCCGACTGGAATTCTTTCGGATGATTGACTTTCGAATAATCAACGCTCTTCTGTAATAATAATAATTGCAGTTTTGCAGAAAAATATTGCCATGAAAATTTTTACAAGTCTTTTTACAAGTTTATATATACATATGCCTACTTATATATTTGATTTTATTAAAAATGGTTTATAATACAAGTTAATTATAAAGGAAAGATTCATAATAATAAGATTTTGTTAAAAATGGTTTTTAATATTTTCTTCTCAATATTATTATTTTTAAATAATATTGAATATCAGCAAAAATATTTTATAAAACACTAGCTTACCCATTGCGCATTGCTGCGATCTCAGAAGAAAGGAAATTCAAGCAAACTTGTTATGATAAAATTCAATTTACATTTTATTATTTTTATTGAAACTTATTATTATTATTCATTTTCATCGGGAAAACATTTCAAAGTGTCGTTTCAATTCTATTTATTTATTGGAGGGTTTGTGGATACACGATATTTTTTGTTTTTCCGTCTGGTGTGTACACGAATAAATCGGATGGTTTTCCGATGCGTGAGCCGGCCACATACAGTTGTCCATGCGAGAAGCATGGATTCTCCAAATTTAGCCACACACTCGCTGCGATTGTCAGAAGTGCGATATTCCTCATTTTTATATATATTTTTAAATCCTTTATAATTTTAATTATTTAATTGCTCCTTCCTCTCTTCCTTGGCATGTTGTGAAATTTCTGATAGTTGGATAATAAACCGTTTTATTGTAATTTGTCTTTTTAAATTATTAGATGATATTAAAATTTGGAAAAGGGGATCCCTAGATCGGTAAAATAGGCGAATTTCCTTCTACAACTTCGGTTGTTGTTCGGTATACAGTTAAAGTTTTAACAAAGTTCGAGCGAATACGTAATTAGCAAAAAAAAGTTGAAATAAAGTGATTAAACAAACATTATTACGAATATCGTAAATAACAGTTCACAAATGCATATATAGAAATATTTTTTGAAGGGGGAAATGGTCTTCACAATTTGAAATCGATCGAACACACTGTGCTCGAATGCTCGTGTAAACGCGCGCCATCTATCGTAGGATAAATGTACTATGCCAAAAACCTTCGCGGGAGTGTATTAAAAAACTTTCCGAAGTTTTATGGCAATCGTACTATGCCACAAACCTTCGCCGGAGTATATTAAACAACTTCCCAAAGTTTCACGGCAATCGGATAAACGGTGTGGTAATGCATGAAGGACATAAGACAGACACACAGACAGACATTTTTATATATATAGATTATGCTTTTGATTTGGTATACTAGTAAACTATGAATTATATAGCTGGCCTCCATTTTTCTCATTTTGGGGAGACTATGATCTATAATTGATCAGCATAATGATAAGATATAGAACAATTCACTAAGGCAAACCACCTGTAAAAATCAGAAATCCTTGAATTCCTTTTATTAAATATTATTTGTATGTTATTTGTAAAATTTATTTACTGTAATATTTTATAAATCTATAAAAGCTTTTAAATATGATGTTTATTTATGTGATCATGTTCATTCATTACTGAAAAGGAATTCAATATAGAAGATTTATGTCAACTTATANATTATTATATTGTTTCAGGTGTTGTTCCTATAAAATCATTAAGCACAAAACCAATAATTGTTACTAATCCTCATATAAAACCAAATAATAGTGATAATTATGAAGTCATTATTATTGATGACAAAGACATAAACAAATCAAAATTTAGTAAAAAATGTTCAGTCTTAGAAGAGAGAGATGTATCTTTATCTATAGCCAAAGAAGTAATTGGTTATTCTTGTTTTGAATGTAAAAATAGTATTGAACAAGATCATTTCAAGTATGTATTATCTATAATTTCTTTACAGTACATAATATGATTTATAAGCAAAAAATTTAGCAAATATATTGAAATTATTAATAAATAATATTGATAATTTTTTAATTATTTTTTTACACTTGAAGACTAATTACAATATAAAAGACTAATATACATAATATCAGACTAATGATTCACCAAAATTTATTAGAATACTTACATGTCATTCATATTACAGTAAAACCTGTGTAAATCAAGAGCTGTATTCCAGTCGCTTATCTTTTGTCTCTTCTTTCAGAGATAAATGACATCAAAATGAGAGATGAGACTTGTCTTCTAAAAACAGAGACAATTCTGGTCACTAGTAACAATCTTGTCTTTGTTGTTGATGTCACGATTCTACCAAGTTGATTATACATGTTCAGGTTATCTGCACATGCAACACAATACAGAATTTTAACCAATAAAATTGTAAAATTTTCAAAAATGCAGAGTACAAAATTATATATCACATGGTAAGGAAAACATGAAGTTCAAATAAAGTATAGTTTTGACAAAGATATGTATTTGTTTTATAATGTTTTTATGGATTGTCTGTATTTTGAGTAACATCAGTCAGCCAGAATGTGAATGGATATTTGCTTTGCTTATTTGGGTTAAGTTACATTGTTCATACCCAAAAACATCTGTTATCACATTGAATAGGTTTCCAGTTTATAGTAAAACTTAACATAAAAAATCATTCCATTCTGAAGAATTTTTTTCATTTAAACAGGTTTTACTGTTATTCAGGTTCTGTTTTAGACAGGTTTTACTGTAATTTAACTATTTTAAGTTTAATTATTCATATTTCTAAATTATCTAATAATTAAATAGTTTAAAGGTGAATCACTAATCCAATAAATTTTGAAGAATTGTTAGAATTTGATGTTAATAACAGCACTGATTGTATTTATAATTATGAATAATATACTTTTAAAAAGTAAAAAAAGAAGTACTGTTGGATTGAAATAACTATATATTATAACGTGAGAGATATGACTGATACATTCCTGAAAATTATTCTGTTAGCTCTTAATAATATCTATTTGAATTACATTTTACTTGTAAAGCATTTTTAAATCATTTAATTTATAACTTTTAATATATTTTAGAAAGTTTTCTGTATGTAAGATATGTCATTATTCAACTAATTGCAATAAAGCATTCCTAAATCATATGGTTCATCATGAAAATAATTCAGGAAAACTACAAACCAAATCAAGCATACAGTTCAACCATCCAATGTTCTGTGTCTGTGGTTTTTCTCATTCCAATGCAGACATTCTTGGTGAGAATTATTTAAAATTTAATAAACAGTAAGAGATAAATATAAATTTAATAATTTATTAATCATTTAATCTACAGTTGATTTATAAAATATTGCCATAGATGAAAATAATAAATTATAAAACCAAATTGTCTTCCAGACTTTTTTATTGGACTAAGTTAAGGCTAATTAATAATCAGATATAAAGCAATTAGCCAAATTGTTTTGTATCTGATTATTAATTAGTCTTAACATAGCCCAATAAAAACATCTAGAGGACTATTTGATACTACAAGTGTATCAGATTGTATATGTTATTACATTATAACATGAGAAGAAATATAAAATTCTTTTCAGTTATTTATAAAAGAATTTTATAAAAATAAGAATTAGAAAAAATTTGTTTTAAAAATGACAATAGTTTTAATGACTTAAATGTAAAGATTATTATAAAACTTACAAATTACAACTAAATACAATAAACTTTAACTTGGATTCAAATCTTTTTTATAAAAATATAATATATCTTTCTTTTTGTTATAATGTAAATATAAATCTGGAAAGATGATTAAGGTTTTACAAAATCTTTTAGCAACTTCTGTCATCTTAAAAGTGATGCATATTTATATTTTAATTAATAAAAAAATTATGCAAAAACAATGTTAAATAAAATATTGTTTTTGCATAATTTTGTTTATTTATTTAGTAACAAGTAATGACACCCAGGCACCCATTTGAAATGCATATGTATTAATAATGTAATAATCATGGTTAATATTACTATACCAAACGTAAATATATCATTAATCTTATGTAAATTAATATATTTGTATAGACAAAAAGGATCAAATTTTATAAATCTATAAAAAAAAAAGTCATTTGCAAAATAATAGCTGTGTTGTATTATTTTTTGAGTTTTCCGTGTGATTAGATCTGTAAGATAATAATTTAATTTATATGTATATATAAATGAGGATGTTTGTTTGTTTACTATATACTCCTAGGCTATTTAACCAATTGCTACAAAACTCAGCAGTTATATTTACATACTTCTAACTTAGATATTGCCATAATCTACTCGAAAATATCTGTTGAATTTCTGTAAATCAATTAATTTCTACATTCGATTTGCTTATTTACACATAGCACCATCTATTGGCAAAAAATTTAACAAAATAATAAACTAAATATAATTCTTGCAAAAACAGATATAATTTTAAAATATATATATATTACATTTATTTAACTACTGAGACAATGATATAGCACTGATATTACTGCAATAGGTAGCATGTAGCACTTGCCACAGATTTTTTCATTTCTGAATGGTACTTTCTTAATAAGTGTCCTCCAATAACCAAGTGGATAAAACCACCAAACTCTGGTAGTTAGTTAGTTGTGGGTTCAGGCATTGCCAACAGGCTGGCCATATGCAATTTTCTGGGTTTTGTTCACATTAATAGCATCCAGCTTCCTGTAAAAGTCTTACTGGGATGCATCCCACTTGGCAGATTGCTCACATGTCACATTACCATAACCAAATAAACCAAACTAATTCTAAGAGCAATTATTTATTGTGACATTATCATAATGCTGGGTTGAAACTTTTTTTTTGTATAATGTTCTGAATTCTTTTAGTAGTGTCTTGTCCCTGTACATCATACTTTTCCTGTTAGCAATAGAGTTGTGTTGGTCATCTAACTATTCAGGGGAAAATTTTGAATTGAAGTTTTCATTTCAAACCAGAAGTTTGTATATAGATAATCTGGGCCTCCTGCTCCTAAAGTTTCCATATTTGGTCTTGATTTTCATCTGTCTAACTCTTTTCTTGAGATTAAAGAAGGTCGGACAGCAGATGGAGGACCATGGAAATTTATAGGTTTACAATTTTTTCAAATTGCAGCCCAATAATTTTTCTATAAATGTGATATTTATGAATACTGTACATATTGCCCACATAGTTTATACAATCTGTTAAAAAATATAAACTCTTTATTATCACAAAAAAACAATTATTCTTGCATTTTTACAAGATTTTTTATTATTATTTAAACAAGTTTTATATGAAGTCTTTCAGACATTAAAGTTAGCAACTTTGATTACATGCTGGGGCACCACAACCTATCCAACACAGATTACTTTTCAAATTTTAATATAGACTAGTATTAATTAGTTGTTGACCATCTTTTCTTCCAGGAGGATGTCATTGACTACTCTTTTTATGGCCCAATTACTTCAACTCCCTTCTGCAACAGTCTCTTCTTCCTATTGGACCAGTAGTATCGTGGCATTCAAATAGGAAAATTACATAATACAAGGTTACTAGCGAGTACAAAATGTGTTTTAAGTGGATTTTGAGGGTGCTGATTTTAAATAGTTGATCTGTTTTCACAAAATATCATTGGTTGGCAGATTACTGTTTGATATTTGGCTGTGAATGGCATGAGTTTTTAGAGTTAACATTAGGAAAAAAAATGTGATATCTTAAAAAATTTAAGATTATCCAAGTATCGCAATAAAACGTGACAATGGTAGATTGATATAACCAACCTATATATAGCGTTTTTATTTTAATGTTTGTTATATTATAGTATTTGATTTATATAAGTACAAACATTAGCTTATATAAGGGTTTATCACACTGAGTGCTCAATCTAACACATTTTAAAAATTCTTTATTTCTCTACTGTACACAATTTAAAGAATTTTTCCCAATTAAAGATCACAGATGTGATATAGAAGGCATTTACATCAGCTCTATGAAGTGCTCCTTGGGGATTAGAATAAAGAGCACATAGCAGACATATAGCACTCCAGGAACACCACTGCGCTTGCCACTTACACCACTGACCTAAACATAGAGCTAGATTTTAATCATAAAGTGTACTTTCTAAATTTATATGTTCTAATAAGTGTATAACTTAACTTATGAAAAGTTAGTTACATTCAATTAACATTTTGTTACATTATCTGAAATATCTGTGCCAAACTTTTCAGATAAATTAAATAAAAGAATTAACTTTCTCATATGTTAACCAGGGATTGCTCTGGAAAACTTAAAAATATTGTCACAATTTTGCCAGTTTAAAATTTTTTTTGTCACTTCATATTGTTTATTGCCACCAGTTTTACTTACTAATTAATGCAGGTGCTGGTTGCCTTATCAGTTTGGCATTTCAAAAGCAAAAGTAACATGTTAAATTGTCACTTACAAGGAAGGAGAGGGCCAGAAGTTTTGTCTCTAATTTGAATGAAACTTGGTGAGCTTGTAGCCTTAAACACAAATACCTCCTCACTTAAATAATAGGATCCACTTTTCAAACATTTCCAAGGAAGTAGCCTATGAAAATTTAGTGTTTAGCTTATAAGAATTTGAAAGTTTCATGTCTAAGAGTGGTGATAGCCAAGTAAGAGACAATGCTCTGGAACTAGTTGATGTAGGACTGTAGTTTTTTATGTGTGACATTATTTTATTATTTTACCACATCATTAGCATTATTATTGCTATTATTATTCCTTTCATTTAAAGTTAATAAAATTTTTGGTATTATATAAAAAGTTACTGTTAAAGTATTTTATGATATATATTCTTATTCTTTCCATAATTTTAGCATCACATCTTTCTTATTGCAAAAAAACATCATGTTATTCCTCTAAACAAGATGCCTTAGCTGCAGCTGTTAAATCAGAACCAGAAGGTGAATATTTTGATTGTCCATCTGCATTTTTTCCTCCACTCGTTGTTCTTGATGATGACGATGAAGAGGAATCAATTAACGAATCCTTTGCCAAGTTATCTGCACCAAATATTTTACTTGAAGAAGAAAAAATACTTCCAATTGATGAAACTATATTAGAAGACCAAATATCAAAGGGTAAAATAATATAAATAAAATTTTATTATGTATTAGTTTTAACATATAATTCAAAACTAATTAAAANATATTGTACTCAGTATATTATTATTTTTATTTGTAATTTAGTATGCACCGATACTTGCATCGGGCCTTTTGACTTGTCTTAAATAATAACAAGTGAGAGAAATTCATTAGTCTTTACCTTTTTTCTGGGCTTACCATTTTTTCCAATTCTCAATTCTCAAAAGAATTTAAATCTTTATTGTTGAATTAAGATTTTATAGAATTTTTTAATTTTAAATTGATATTTATAGAAAACTAATATTAAAGTTACTTCAGCATAATAGAGAACATTCTTTCTTATCGTTGCTCATGATGAAGAGCTGTTAGTCTTTATTTCTTTATTTAGACATAAAAGATTTTTTTTTTATTTTATAATATATTACAAAAATAAAATAATTGTTGTATTGCTTTTAAAAACAACTATCATACTTTCATTTGCATTTAATTATAAAACACTTGATGAAAATTTTTATGATGATCTGCAAACATTCTGTTATGATTAAATTATTATTTTATAGTTTTTTAACTATTCTTGCCATCCAAAGTTTCCTTGTGATAATTTTATAAATATTTTATTTAATTTTGTGAATTTGACCTACTGAACAGAACTCTAAACACAATCAAACTTCTCAACAATTTTTATTGATATCACTAGAGTGTGAGAATCAAGAGTATAGGTGTGATACCTATATCTCTTACTGACTCACAATCATTAGATTGGCTCACGGAACTTTTTATAGGAGGGCTGTTAAATCGGTTTAAAAATAATCTGGACTGTGAGGTTCAGATCTATGTCAGGATTCCTGGACACCAGTTAATCACATTTATATCACGCAGATTAACACGCATGTAGGGATCTGATTCTGATAATGATCAAGAGACATTTCTTTAACAATAAATAAGGAAAAACATTTAATAAACTAAAATAAACAAATTAATACAACATGGAAAGAATTAAGTAATTAAATACAATCGAAGAAGACAACAAATAAATCAAAATAACCGCAGAGAGAGTAACAGACTTATTTAACTGATACAATATCGAGAGAGAGAGAGCTCACAATTCATTAATAAACATACAACCTGTTTAGTTGACTTCTTCCTCTTTTGTATTTGTATTAGTCGAATACATCTTCAGTTATAAGGTTCTCATATTCCTATTCATGGAGAGGCATTGATAATCTCGATATTAAAATAATTTTCTATGTTTCTAACTCATTATCCACTCGATAAGATACAACTATGGGCGTTGGCCTTATGGAGCTTGTATGGATTTCGTCTTCCTCATCTGGGATCTGTTGATGAACTCCTCGAACTCTGCCAAACTCTGACTATATCTCTTTGTTTACGACCAATCATCATACTGTTCTTCATCCATGTGAACGGATGAAAAGGGGAAGAAATGAGGGGTCGTCGATTCCCATCATGGCGAGATTTTTAACAGATAAGGGAAAAACAGAGGATGCTTCTACTTCCGTCGAAGGAAGTGGCTCTTTTATCTGCTTTCCCACGCTAGAAAATCGTTATTTTCTCACCAAATGAAAGAATATTTTTCTACAAAATTTAAACTATATTTTTAAATTATCATTTAGACCCAGGGGCTATTCGGATCTCACAAGAGTGATATCAATAAAAAATTCAGATATATGAGATTTCAGGATTTATCAAATCTTTTCATCATAATTCTGCACTATTCTTACTTTAAACTTAACAGCAAATTGTATGCATTAACTGCTGCAGTGTTGGACAACAATTGAAAAAAATTGGGTTGCATCTGTTATCTTGGCTTTAGTGTATTTGGCTATCTGTTTGTAAGTGGCCTGTAGGATCAGGTTGAAATCTACACTGATATGAATTTTCTTATGTTTATTTTTCTTCTCTTAAGACTTGTGTTGTTGGGTATTCAACTGAGAAGTATGAACTAGACTAGGAACCAGTGTTCTGCTGTACCCATGTATCCTGGCTATGTTGTAAATGTGCTCCAATTCATTTTTAGTGTCACTGGAGTAGTGCATAAATGCCCTTTTAACCAACACCCTAAAAGTAGCAACTTTATAGGTATGGATTGTTGGAAATGGCAAGAATAAATAGTGGACAATATGTTGGTTTATAAAAACTGCTGTCTCTATATTATTGTTCTTTAATAAAAAGTTGAAGAAATAGGCTTCCTTATTGCCAATCTGGTCCAACTTCCGAATGAGCCTATATGAGTTATCATTGAATTTTTGTAAAGTAATGTCAATGTCTGTCTTAGATTTCATTAAAAGTAAGATATTGTCTACATACCAGGTATCTAGAATAATACCTGGTAGGAGCTCCTGCAATGTGCTAGCCTCCATTTTCTAACCACCAACTCACATAAATCTACTGATAGTGGGCTACATATTAGCACAATGCATTTCTGTAAGTATGTTTGCAAGTTAAAGTTAAAAAATGGGGGTGTAACAGAGAAGGTACATGTACATCACCACCAGGATTTGGTAGTGATGTACATGTGCTGAAGGCACTATGTTAAATAAGGCATCTCTTAAAGTGCAAAAACAGGGTTCTAGTCTGATGTACAGAAACATGGATACAAAATCAAACAGAGATGTATTCAGTACCTATTAAAGTAATGTTTTTAATTTAGCCACAAGCTGAAAAGGATTTTGGACAATGAACTTATAGGTTTAAGGTGGTTGATTAGCAGATTACGTACCCTTTTTTCTAAGCCCATTGCAGGCAAACTTGTTTTGTCAATAATTGGACACAGTTGTTTACCTGGCTTGTTGGTCTTTGCAAATGCAGAGTTGTAGTATGTCTAGGAATCGTATAGTGGTGTGGCTTAAGTTAAGAATTCTGGCCAGGTTTGTGTGCATCAGACAGATAACACTATTTTGCAATTTGTGTACATTGTTTGAAAACAATCAGGAAAGAAGACTGCAATAAGACTATGGAATGCCAATTCATTGACTATGTACAAAATTGTAAAATAGAGTTATCTGTTTAATGCAATGCAAACATACAAAAATGTGATGTCCCAATGGGTACCAATAACATACATCTTAATATAAGAAAAATGAAGTCTAAACAAATATGATTTTTCTTGTATTCATTTAGACCTCATTTTTCTTAACTGGCTCTATTAACTGGCATCTTTTTAACTGGCTCTATAACTCACATACAAACAGATAGCCAAATACACTAAAACCTAGATAGCATACAGAAACAACCCAACTATTTTTCAGTTATTGTCTGACACTAAGGATAAGCCTAATGAAAACAACATACTCAGGGTATGTTGTTATAAGATAGCAAATTTTACAGAAATCTTACCTACATGGGGTCTGCTAATAGGTCTTGGATTTGTAGGATTGCAGAACATAAATATGTTATATCTAATAATAAATGCACAACTGCACTAGCCCAGGGTAACAATCAACTGGGAAGATACAAAACTAATTAAAAAATCTTTGATTTAAAAAAACTAAGAACACTTGAGGCATAGGGAAATTTTAAATATTAATGATTAACATAAACTGTATAAATAAAAATCATGATCAAGATTATTATTTATACATATTCAATCATGATCAATGATCATGAGAGAATATCTATGTCATGGTGATCATTTGTAGACAACCCTCTGAAAGAAAATAATACTGTAGCAATGAAAAATGCACATGTGATTCATCAGCCATTAAATAAAAAAACTGATAATATTTAGGATTACATTTTAGGTAAAAATTGCTATTATATAATAATTTTTTGTTATAGGTAAATGGATATAATTTTAAAAAAATTCTGTAATTATTTAAATACTGTGACATACTGTAGAAGAACAATCTCAAAAACATTCTAAATTTGGAATTCTCAGTTAAGTTTCTTCTGTGTAAAACCTGACACAGGCCTCTGAAGAAGACTGAAAACATTTTGCTATTGTAAAAATTAAAAGACATTTTCCTGCTGGAAGAGTGTTTAAGAGTGTTTGTTATATGAGGTTTGCTGGAAAATTCATGAACTTTTTAAATTATGCACCAATCAATAATTGAATCTGAATGCAGCTTGCACAGCTCTCTAGTGGCAAGTTTTGTGTACTATGTGCCAAGAGCAGTTAGTTTTGTCTTTATTTGTTGTGTTACATTTTTGTCATTCAATCCTACTGATGTTTAGATCTAACATTAAGCAGGCAAACACGAACAGTAACAAAAAAGAACTTTATTAGAAAAGGTTAGAACTGTCACAGACATCCTCGGGAAACACCCGGACAAAATCCAACAAACTTTCGCGCCTTTACTTTTTTTTTGACGTTGCCAGCCACTCTTGTTGGCAAGTGTTGCCAGACAGAGTTCATGATCTTGGCAAGTGTTGCCAGACAGTGTTCAGGATCTCTGGCGCTGGCGGCCACA